TCTTTTGTTTTATTTGAATGCATTTTTCTTTAAATTTTATTTTTCTTATTCTTTTCTTTTTAGATTATGAGGAATATAGTTTTTTTTCTCCACAATAATTTTTTGATTGATTTAAATTTAAGTAATGGTCTATTTATTTTTCTTTACTTTTAATTCATTTTTCTTTTTGAAATTGTATTATTTATATATATTTTTCGCTTTTAGGTGTCTTTGTACTTTTTCTTATCTGGATTTTTTTTTTGGTAGAAATTGCTGCAAATGGATATTACTCCTCATTATTACAAGGTGAAAGATATTCCTGAATCTTTAAATCCCATTACAGGTCGTAGTATTTATTATGGAATTCGTCCTTGGCGTTGCGACGATCGTTTCCAGGACTGGCTAAAGTCTTTCATCTCTTTTGATGGAATAGGTGTTCAGTTTCAGCTGCTCAAGACGTTGTATAAATGTATTTACTCTGAAAAAGGTGCCGAGCCCGTGGATAGTTATCATCGACTGGGACGGTCAGAGGTCATGTTTTATGTTGAACGCTATCGTAGTGGCATGATGCGGGAAAGATTTTGGGAGACCTATCCTTACGATCAAAACGAGCTTGTTAGGATAGCGGAAGAGGATGGTATGAAGATGCGCGTCTGGCGCCATCAACGTGAGCTTGAAATCCAGTCAAGAGAAGGTAAACTCGATGAATTACTCCAAAAAAGCATTTTTAAGCAACCTAAGTAATATTTCGGGTTCCATCGCACAAAGTCGTGAATATACTGCTCTGAGTAGGTCTAGAATATTCAGAAGTATATCATATAAGAACACTGACTACATTGATAGTAGTGACAGAATGGTTGTGAATCGAACTTCTTTTTATGCTTAATGTTCTGTATTCCACTCGAAATGAATGCAAAAAATGCATCGCAAATGAGGTGCCTTTATACCTCAAAAAATGTTTTGCATATTCTCGTTGTTAAAGGTGCCAGTAATTGCGTTGGATTTTACTTTGTTGTGCATCTAGCTGAGAATATGGAAAAGGTCTCTTTCAAAACTTTTATTTTACTGAAGTAGAGTGAGGACTATTCAACAACATGCATGTGCCCATGTCGAATAGAATCAATGGAGAGTTATCATTCCCAAATCAATTGCTTATCCGATTTATACGCTATTAGTGACATTAAAGGGATTACCAGAGTTTAGGGGCACTGGGGACCAAGTGTGCTGTGGATTGTGCCTCTTACCGTCGGTAATTATTAGGGATTTTCCTTCGAGTTACACAGATCTGTACGAGTTTGGTTCGTAACCAGTATTTGCTTGGAAAGGAGTGTATGCAATCATACATGACCGCACCACACTTTTTTTCGGAGCAATCTCCATTGGAAGCCAATAAAGTGCGCTTCATGATAATTTTGTGTCGAGCTGCATATAAGGTGTATGTCTTGTACATATTTCATTTCATTTATCCCCCTTATCACTTATTTTTAAGAAGATCCCTTTACCAAGGGCAAATTATATAGCCTAGTCAGTATAAGATGAAGCTCCAGTGCTATTATGTAATCTTGACATCCACTTTGTTGTGGCTTCTCTTTTTTATGGATTTTGCTTTTGCTGTTGAGGCTGATGAAATATTTCAGGGAGGCTGGAACTTGCGTGTTCTTTCACCCGGTCGTTCATCGTCACCTTCGTACGTCGCGTGGGTTGAAAGGGACACGATTAATATCACGAAGCTCAACTCTAGTGGCATGAGTGAATTTTTTTCACGCGCTGTTGGACTTCTTCGAATGGTAAACTTTGGGACCCCTAGGGAGTTGGATAGGACTTTCCATTTAAGACACTCGCTTGATCTCTCATTTGTTGCCAGCAAAATAGGTGACACCATTGATGTGCATTGCAATCCAGGACTGATGCATGGAATGAATTTTTCTCAATTGCTGATAGAGAACGGCCATTTTAGTAAATATTTCAATGATATTTTGCCTGTACACACGACTTATGACAACCAATGCATTGCGTTACCATGGGGAGTGGAGCACATCAGTGTTCATTATCATTATTACCCTCAAATGAAGCACTTCTTCACATTTACATTTGTGCTGCAAGGGTGGGAAACCAAGATGCCCCGCATAGTAGCTGTGGAGGCCACGCCATTCCCCCGTGGGAAGTCGAAGCGAGAAGGGTCCCTTTACGGTCCGTTATGGGCAATTGTTGTGCTTGTCATCCTGCGCGCCCTGCCGCGGTACTTCATGAAGCAGGGTGGCTGCGTCGGCAGGGGTTTATATCGAAGTGCGGTGCGCCCCATCTCCGCATCCGAGCGACGTAAGTTAGTGAGGGAAAAGTGTGAGGAAATTATCCGTAAGATGAAGGATGAAGATGGCAAGTCATGAGTTGATTCTCAGCATAAATATATGATAAGGCCAAAATAATGCCAGAATAAACAGGTGGGAAAATGCTGTCTTAGAGTCTCTGCGACCATATCGGTTATTTTTTAATTTTTTTTTTCTACCTTTACTGTTAGGATTCATTAAGTCTTGAACAAAGAATATTTCTTTAGGAAACGATCTAAGCGAGTTACTATTCGATGGACCCCACCGAGGATTCCGACTTAGAGAGTCAGCAACCATCTGATATTTCTTTATCTGATAATGATCGGCCTCAAAGATACACTATCTCACAGACCCTGTTTGAAGATCTTCAAAAATTAGGATTCAGTGAAAATGCCATAAAAAAGTCCATTGTTGCAGGATGCATCGATCAAAGTACATGCGTTCAATGGATCACCATGCACGTTGGTCATCCGGAGCTTGACGCGCCTCTCGCTGATGGGGTGGAGGTCACCATTCAGTACAAAAAAGTCCTCACTGAAGCGGAGCGGGAACAGAAAGCGAAAGAAATTCGTGATAAAATCAAGCAAAAGAAGGAGGAGGAGGAGAGAGAGTCTCATCGCAAGAAAATGGAGCTTGCCGAAATGTGGCGGAAGTCGTTGGATGTCAAGAAAGAGATGGACAAAGTACGACATCAGATGCGTTTGGATGAGATGAAGAAAAGCAAAACCGAGGATCATGCCGCATATCGGAAGGTCAAGATTGGCATCATCGCGGATCGTTACATTCGCCAGGGGAAAAGCGTCGAGGAGGCGAACGCACTGGCGGCGAGTGAGTACGACGACGAGCAGTCCCGAAAGCGTCAGGCTGCGGCCGAACGCTTTAAGGAAGTGAAGCTCATCCCTAACGAACCTCCCCAAAAGGACGCCAAAGCGGAGTGGGATTTGAGCTCGGTTCTAGATTCTAAAGAAGGCTATAGCTCATCCTTACACGCCCTCTGCAGTGCTCCTCCGCCGTCGATTGAGGAGCTACCGGCTTTGGCGGAGGATATTCGCCGCATCTCGGATCAACCAGGAGGGTCGCAGTGCTTGCGTTTGCTGCTTACCATCATAGGCAATATCCTGGAATTTCCGTTTGATGTCAAGAAGCGCACCCTCAAGACGAGCTCGAAGTCGCTTGTGCAGCATGTTTTTCCGCACAAAAGTGCGATCAGGCTAATGCGGTTGTGCAACTTCGATCTTGAAGTGGATGAAAATGACAATGAAATTATAGTGTGCAAGACAGTTGTAATTCACTTACTTGATGAGGTCATCAAATCCTTAAAGTGATGCAACTGGATGTATTTGTGCATTGTTTCGTTTGTTATCGAAGATGCGGAACGATTTTCGTGTACGTATATATACACACATCAATATATATTGTGTGCTTTTAGGAAGGAAAAGTGGAGATATCCGCACTTTCCTGTTTTTTCCGATTTAACTGTTTCTGCATTTTTCACTCGGTCTATGGATTGGTTCACCTTTTGATTCAAGGCAAAGAAAAACCATTTCCCGTTATTCTTCTTTCATTTAGGAAAATTTTTGCGTAATAGGAATATGGCGGCCGCTTCTTCATATAACCTTATAACAAAACAACGACAGAATGACATGCATAGCCAAGAGGTCCCTTACAGACACTTTAACAACTACGTGAAGAAAGTCCTCATCCAGGAAGCCCTAGACCACGTCAAGGGGCGTTTTCCCGAGCTAACCGATGTGGCGGTTTTGGACTTGGCGAGTGGACGTGGGGGCGATATCGGGAAGTGGTTTTACATGAAGAGCCCTTCCATTTCCGACGTGGATTCTTCTGCCGCCACGAAAGCTCTGACGACCACCACCTACGAGTGCTACGATGTCTCTGATGAGGCCGTTGCCGAGGCTCGACGACGGTGCGACGCGATGGTGTCTACCTCCTCAACCTCCACCTTTCATGCCTCTTTCTTTGTAGCAGACTGCTTCAGCGCGGGCTTTTTGAAGCGCACGCTGCGAGAGTCGCCGTATTTCGGGAAATTCCACATTGTGAGTATCCAATTTGCCTTTCACTACGCCTGTCGTTCTGAGGAGGCGATAGAAATGCTTCTGGAAAGTATCTCGAGTGCGTTGGTACCGGGTGGTGTCGTGCTCCTGACGACGGTAAGCCAGGATGAGCTCTCGGAGCGGGTGTGGGGCAATCGATTTGGCAATTCGTTATTCACAATTAAACTCGCCACTGACGTGCCCGAGTGGTCCGCACCACGTGAGGGTGATAAAAAATTCTTGCTGCCGCTTGGAACGAAGTATCATTTCAAACTGGAGGGATTTGTGGATTGTGAAGAGTACGTGGTGCCGCTAGAGGTTGTGGAGAAGGTTGCCCGTCGAGTTGGGCTACAGAAGCTGGCGTCGCATTCGCAACCGTTCCTCAACTTTTTCAACGATTATCGAAAGAGTTGGAAGAAAAATAAAGGAAATAGGCTCTCCGCTGATGAGGTAGAGTTGGTAACGCTTTACTGCTCATTGTTCTTTATCAAGGAGTAATGCTATTCTATTCACGTCTGGATATATACATTTTCATACATTTATCAGATATACATGCACGGTTCCAACAGATGTGTGAGAGAGGGGAACAACTAGTCTACTTAAGTATTTAAGTATTTTGATCCTTTTTAGGGGGATAAATTGGTATTGCGATACAAGTTGGGATATAAAATTGATTGTATTATATGGGTCACTGTACTTTTTTTTTTGTTTACCATTTGTTAAATGCTGAAGGAGTCAAGGGGTTCCATAGTCTTAATTCTTTGTGGCATCCTTGCACGTGCTGAAGCATAAGGATTCCATTTTTTTACCTGTTCACCTCAGTCGATTTGTGATCTAGACTTAGAATGTATGCAAAGCAATGTGGGGATGTGCATAGGCCAACGGATGGAAAGATTAAGGAGGCTCTCGGTGCTCTTTTGAAAGAGACTATACCTCTTAGGCTGGATGCTGAACCGCCTGTTTCTTTTTGCAGGCGTTGGCGTGCTCGTGCTGTTATACAAGAAATCCGTGCATTACAGTCGATTGAGGCCCTTTCCAGCTCAGAACAAGAGCTGAGAGCGCTTATCTGCTCTCAGGAGGTACGCCAACGTGTGAAGCTAAGTATCACGATTCTGTGCGATGAGTGTTGTATTGAAGAGTTTTTAGCACTGAGGCAATCTGAGTGCATGGAGCTGGAAGCAATCATGAACATGGAAATTCAAAAGAGACAGTTGTATGCCGCTATGTATATGTGTGAGAAGGAGGAAATACATCGCCGGGGGCAAATCTACTGCGCATCAAGATCTTTTTTCCGTACCCAGAAAAAACTGGAAAAAGCTCATTTACTCTTCATCAGAGAGGGTGAGGTTCGACGCGTCTTGCAGAGACAAGAACGGCTCCTGCGCACTGAAATCTTCAAGCGTCGTCTTATCGAAGTAGGACAAGAGGTTCAGCTCGAGATATGCAAGCAGAACGCCGGGGGAGTTTTCAGGCAAGCCCAACGGCAGTCGTTGGAAACTGTGAGAGCTATCAAATCTATCTGTGCGGATGAGGAGCGCGATCGTTTTGGAATCGAAAAAATATGGTTTCTTGAGCAACGTAACATTGCCTACGAGGCCCAGAAACGACTTTGCCATGTTATTCGAAACGACCTTATCAATGTTGCGAGCCTTAAATCTCGATGGAAGGCGAAGCAACGTGAAACCTATTTGCAACGCTGCGTCGGACGCTTGATTCATCAGGAGGAATCCGTACGGTTGGTGGTGGAGCGCACGCAGCATGCCGAGTATACGAAGCTGTGTACCAAATATATGGAGTCCTGGAGGACCGTTCCTCACATCCTCCGGCTTAAAGATTGGGATATCGTGAATCTGGCATCCACTGTGGAGATGCTTGAGCGGAAGTATCTAACGGATGAATACCACAACGGACTTCAACGGATTGCCCGACAGTTTTTCCTGGAGAAGCTGCACATTGAACAATTTGAGGGCTTTTTGAGGAAGCTCAATAAAAGCCTGCATGCCCTGTGGAGGGCGGAGGAAGAGGCGTTTGAGGCCATCCACTTCCAGTATCATTCCTTCCTAAGCGAGGCCACCTCGCTTCCCGCGCTTGTGGTGGTGGAGCTGGACGAGGAGCACGCCCGAGGGAAGGTCGCCTGCGAGGAGGCCCTCAGGCGCGCGCAGCTGAAAGGCTACGTGGTGCAAGATCTGCTCTACCACCAAGCCCTTCATGGCGCGCGGGAGCTCGGCTTGATGGAGTCCAACCAGTGGAATCTGATCCTGCGCAAGAAAGAGGTCGTTTTACGCACCCTGCCGCTGGATCAGCTTCAGAAGGACGAGGCCTTCTTCCGGATCAGCCTCGAGTTCGATGAGCAGCGTCGGGGGGTCAAGCTTCGCGCCGTCGCGCGAAAGGCGCTCGACGAATACGCCATTCTCGACGCGACCGCCTCGTTGGTGGAGCGGGAGGGCCTCGAACGCGTCGCGATGGTCGCCGCCGAGGCGGAGGCGCGTCGGGGCTGCACCTTCGCGTCTCTTTGCG